GACCCCGCGGCGCCCCCGCCCGCCGCCCCCGCCGCCGCCCGCGGGGCCCCTGCGGCAGCGCGCCCCGAGGAAGCCGGGCCCGGATCCGGACGGGGACACCCCACACGGCTTTTTATCGACGAAAAGGCTGTCCAGTGACTTAAATTTCTCACACCATTTTATACACTGTGTTTTAATGTTTGGAGGTTTTATTTGCTTTCCCTTGGTTCGGGTTTATTCGTTCGTTGATTTTTTTGCACTTGTTAATACAGGATTTATTTTGGGGGATGGTTTCTCAGAGGTCAACTAAGTCTCCACCGTCTCTTTCTCTCTCTATATATATTTCTAGTCATCGTGTGTGTTCATCAGGTAGTTCTGTCTCTCTGTCCTGTCCGTTTCTATTAGAGGAATGATCGCTATGACCTCACGGTGTAGCAAAATACAACAACAACAACAAAAAAAATCATAAAAGATAAAAAAGACAAAAAAAAGAAAACAACAAAAAATACAAATAAAAAACCCCCCTCGAACTCTTCGCTCCTGCCTCCCAGGCCTCCCGGCTGGCCTCCCCGGCCTCCCCCCTGCCCCCCAGCCTCTCCCCTCCACTCCGCCCCCCCGGCCCTCCCCTTTGCCCCCCCGCTCCCCCCGCCCCCCTGCCTCCCCTCCCCCCCCTCCCCCGCAGACAACACGGCTTGCTTCTGTCTGTCTGCGCAGCCGCTGTTTGGGCGCAACCCCCGGGCCGGGCCGCAGTGGCCCCCCCACCCCCGCCGGGAGCAGAACTAGGGGTTCCTTTTTAGCTGAACAAACAAGCGCTCTCCACGGTAGGCGGAATCAGACAGTTAACACATTTTTTACGTTGACGACAAAATAAAAGCAAAGAAAACCACCACGAACTACGTTGCTCCAGCTCCCCTCCCGAGGCCCTGTCCCTCCTTGCTGGTGGTCCAGTGGCTGCGGCCCGCCCTGAGCCCCGAGTCAGGACGGGGGCGCGTGTTGGCGCTGGTGGGCCCTCGAACGGCGACGAAGGGACCGAGGACACGCAGCTGGGTTCTTTCTCCTCCTCGGTGGCTGTGGGGGAGACCGTAGAGACGCTCCGACACCTGCAGTGTAGACACTATAGAATTTTAGCCCAGTATCTCCCAACCTATGATTTTCAATTATTCCAGGTATAAAGTGTATGCAATTCTGCATTATCACAAAAGAACTTGTTTAAAAAAAAAATAGGTTAGCCATTTTCATTCAAGCGCAAAAATTTTGTCACTTCGAACACGCTCTAGGTAGTCGATGAGAAGAGGAGAAATCAGATCGCTCTGTTTGTATTTTTTCTTTTTGTGGGAACATTTCACCTGCTGAGTGTGTATGAATTTGCTTTCTAAAAAAAGGCTTTTATGAGTTTACAGTAGAATCAGTGGAAGGAAGAGTTCACAAGGGCTGTTTTTAAAAAAACAAACAAACAAAACAAATAATTAAAAAAAAAAGAACACTTTACATTCCTTCCTATACTCTAACTACATTTGGGAAGTGCTCTTCAGATGTGTTTGCTGTGTAGCTGGGAGATGAAGGAAAACCATAGAAAAGGTCCTCGTAGCGAACAAAATTTAGTTATTAACTTTATAGCTATGAAATTCCCCCGGTATTTGTTTTTGTTCAAACAAACTTTAATCTCTGCATCATACTTAACCCTGCGACATGCGTACAGTATGCATATTTTGTTTTGAATAAAAAAAATGTTTTGTTCCAGTCTGTTAAGAATATTCAAAAATAATAAAGGTATTGCTTAATAAAATTGCTAGAATTGTTTAGCAGTACATGCACAAATATTTTACTAGATTCTTCGTTTTAATAGTGTTTTGTTGAGACTGAAAATCCTAAAATGGTCTGCGCAAATACAAAAAAAAAAAAAAAACACCAAAAATGCAAAATTCTCCAGTTTTTGTTCCTTTTTAAAAATTGTTTTTTTCATGAAAATGTCAACACACGTTCACAACTGCACACATACACACATAACATGCACAGTATTTTTAATTTATAGAAATCCAGTGCTATTTCTGGGGCCCCAAGTGGATGGGAAGAGGCTTGGGGGCATTGAGTTGTGGCAAGTGTTAAACACTGGGAGAAATGATCTCGTTCAAAGACCCCTCCAGGTGCGCCACAGATTTCGGTGGAGTTGAGGGATGACAGAAGTTGGGGAGCAGTGGTGAGTGGAGGGTGAAGGGGTTCTGACTCCTAACAAAAGACTTAAGGTGAGCTCCTTTTCAACTAACCTCTTAAAGGCTTTAAGATATATAACCAAGAAAAAGTCTGTTTTGACCTTCCCCTACCTCTGCCAGACAAAGGCCAAGCCCCGGGCCATTTCTTCAGTGTCCCCCATGCTTCTTTTGCTCCATGGGAATTTCCATCCTTTAGGAAAATGACAAATCAACACAGATGCAAATTCCACCCACTCTTATGACAAGTTACTATTTCTAGACCCTGGGCAAAATGATTAAAAACAAAAACCAAAAAACAGTATCCCATAACAAACAGGGTTTCATTTTCTCTTAATATCTTTTGCAACTGGTTACAATTCTTTTCAAATATAGAGAGGTTGGAAGATTCCACTGGGCCATGTTTTAGCTTTAGTTTGGGGAGAATGGCAGCTGAACGAGGGAGACCAAAAACCATCACCACTTTATCTGACTGGTAAGTCCTCCAGAAGATAGTTTCAAGAATTGGGAGAAAAAGCACAGTATTTAATTGTACAATGAAACTATAATTTAGGTGATGAAGGGCTGGCAAGGAGAGAAAGGGAACAGGTTATTTCCCCAATATCAACGAGTCTTGGAATTGTGTCTCCTTCTGGTAGGATTCTTTTGCCATATACATTTATTGTTATTATGTGAGAATGACCTCAGCGCCTAGTAATTATTACTGTAAATGTGTAAGCACTTCTGTATGACATTCCCACTGACACAGTGAACTAAAGCAGCTTTTCTTGGGTTCGGCCGAAGGATCCAAACAGGCAATGAATGACTCCTAGACAGAGTCAAGAAACAAGCACTGAGGGTACAGATCTCACTACACCCATGGGTCATTTATTTATTTATTTTTAAAGATTTTATTTATTTATTTATTTGACAGAGAAAGAGACACACACACATACACACAGTGAGAGAGGGAACACAGTGGGGGAGTGGGAGAGGAAAAGCGGGCTTCCTGCTGAAGCCAGATGCAGGGCTAGATCCCAGGACCCTAGGATCATTGCTTAAGAACTGAGCCACCCAGGCGCCCCTCCATGGACCATTTAAAGTAGTTTTTCTACTTGATCAACAATACGCATGTTAATTCTGATACAAAAAAATCACACTTTGCACCTTTGTAATCATCATCCCGTTCTATTTTTCTCATGGTGGATATCCATTGCATAGTAGATAATTACAATATTGAAACAATTATTTCTGAAAGCAAGTTGATAATCAAGAAAATGATATTTCATCCACAAATGAATAGAATATGTTTCCCCGTGTTTTTTTTTTTAAGATTTTATTTATTTATTTGACAGAGAGACACAGTGAGAGAGGGAACACAAGCAGGGGGAGTGGGAAGAGAAGCAGGCTTCCCGCAGAGCAGGGAACCCTATGTAGGACTCGATCCCAAGACCCTGGGATCATGACCTGAGCCGAAGGCAGACTCTTAATGACTGAGCCACCCAGGCGCCCCTGTTTCCCCATGTTTATGACTGTCTTTTCTTCCTCAATAGAGAAATTCCAGCTTGTGAGAGATTTTGAGTCTGCCAAACCAAATGTCACAGGTTGGGTGTCATTCCTTATAGCATTTACATTCAGTGAAACTTTATACTCACTGTTCTTTCATTGAAAAGATAGTGTTGTTTTGGGGCGCCTGGAGGGCTTAGTCCTTAAGCATCTGCCTTCTGCTCAGATCCTGAGATAGAGACCCCCGCACCAGGCTCCCTGCTCATCAAGAAGACTGCTTTTCCCTTTCCCACTCTCCCTACTTGTGTTTCCTCTCTCGCTGTCTCTCTCTCTGTCAAATAAATAAATAAAATCTTAAAAAAAAAAAAGAAAAAACAAACGATAGTGTTGTTCTCCTCTCCCACAATATAGTAAGTGAAAATTGCTCATTTAAATGGCATAATTACCAACAAGGGAATGTAGTTCCTCACCAATGAATTGGTACCATTAAGTTCTAGAACCTGTAGTTATTAAAATAAGGCAGACAGCCAGGAAAGAAAGTAAAGGAGAAACAGAGAAAGAGGAAAGAAGGAAGAAAGGAAGGAAGGGGAACAAAAATGGATTTTATATGAATGACTAAGAAATCATTTTTTCCAGGGCAAATACATAAATAAAAGATGTAGTTGGGTGTCAGATTCATGTGCCCAAGAAACAGCGTTTGATACCTGGACACATTAAAGCATTGATCGATCTGAGGCACCATTAGTGTTTTTTCTAGGTAACAACTAAATTTGCTGCTGGACACATTCAGTCAAAGACAGAAAAGGTACATCCTGTTTTTACTAGAATTGCAGACAGGTTACATACACATGCAAATGTACATATAACGGGGAAGGCTATGA